GGTTGTAGAGTTACCTTGTCTCTGGGAATAGGGTGCTTGGAGAGTTGAATGAAAAGGTCATAGTCTTCAGGAAGCACAGAGCAGGGGTCCTTGTCCAGTACCACTTTAAAGGCTTCCCAGATGGCCGTGCAGTTCTTGTTCCTGTGCAAAAGTGCAAGTTAGAAAACACACATCCATATACATCACAGACACATACATCACAGACACATACATCACACACACATCACACACACGTATCACACATACATACATCACACACACATACATCACACACACATATACACACATCACACACACACATATCACACATACATACATCACACACACATACACATTGCACACACACATCACACACACACTCCCACATATGTCACGCTGTGATATGAAGTATTTCCATTTCTCTAAGGCCTTTTAAATGCAACCTTGTCATATATTGACTGCAGAACTAGCCATATGAAAAAGACAGCAAATTGTTGAGAACGGATTGTCATGGTGATGGGTTTAGAAATCTGTCACTGGAAGTGTCTCTGAGAAAGACACTTCTCTTTAGCAGATTCCTCATAGAAACAAGCAGAAAAGGCACCAAGGTAGGAGGAGACAGTTCCAATAAACCCCGGGGCCTCCTAGTTTCATTCTGTCCCCTTCTCCTTTAGAGACAGGCAGGCTGTCTTATCATCTGGCTCCATCCTGAGGTGCAGGACATGGCTGAGGCTCAGGGAACAGGCCCGGCCAGGCTCACAGGCAGGGCTTATGAAAGCCAAGGTCGGGCAGGGCTTCTACCTCCTGGCCCAGCAGAAAGCCCGCCCTTGAGGGCTCCCCTCACCACCCAGTTCCACACTAACTGGACTTGGGACTTTCCATTCTCCGCTGGATAGTAGCATGGCTGTTTCTTGGATGATTCTCTGCTCTTTTTGGTTTCCTGAAACATGTAATAAAAACAACTAGCAAAGAGAGATGTTACGAAAACAGGAAAAAGCAGCAGCTATCACAGTGAGAAGCAGCAGCTATCACAGTGAGAAGCTCAGGGCTGACAGGAACGACCCGGAACTTCAAAAGTCCTCTAGATGAGAGTCTGAAATGTCAGTTCCCCAAAGATCAGGACTTAAGGAACTCCAGCTGGCGAAGGTTCTGGATAGACACAGCGAGACTGACAACTGCCAGCATCCGAACTCCCCTCTACTGACCTTTACTTCTGGACCTGGTCTGCCCTGCGAGGCTCTTAGGCAGTGCCTCAGAAGTTTTTAAAGATCATGAAATTATTTTCGAAAGAAATTCAAAGCACAATAAGTATATTCTTTAACACTTTTTATTTATTTGGGAGGGGGTGTTGTCACCTCCCATATGTGGGGCCGGCGTCCTATT